TTTTATTTTATTATTTTATTTTATTTTATTTTATTTTATTATTTTATTTTATTTTATTTTATTTTATTATTTTATTTTATTATTTTATTTTATTTTATTTTATTTTATTTTTAAAAAAAGCCCTCTCTGGAAAGGGCGCCACGGGGAGAGCGCACGGCCAGGCCTTCAAAGCGGAGCGGGTCTCCTGATCTTGTCTCTCTTCTCTTCCTCCCCCCCTCGGTTTTTCTCACCCCGCACATGTCTACCTAACCCGAACTAGACCGTTTTTTCCTCTGCGCCATAGAATATAGGTGGGTACGTGCATAATTCTGTATTTATTTTGTCTCCTATTTATGTAGTGTATAACGGAGGGGGGGGTTGACCCCTTTGAGAGCCGTATGCCAGGAAATGTCATTGTAACGTATGCCGCTTTAGTGTACACTCAAAGTGACAATAAAGTTGTTATTCTATTTTCTCTCTCTCCCCCCCCCCCACAATTCCAGTCCCTTACAAGCTCTTCACCGACCACGGCGGCCTGAACGAGAAGCGGAAGCAGCGCAGGATTCGCACCACCTTCACCAGCGCGCAGTTGAAAGAGCTGGAGAGGGTCTTCGCCGAAACCCACTACCCGGACATCTACACCCGAGAGGAGCTGGCCTTGAAGATCGACCTCACCGAAGCCCGAGTGCAGGTGAGGGAAGAAGTGTGTGTGTGTGTGTGTGTGTGTGGTTGCTGCGCAGGGTTTGCTTGATTAAAAAATATAATAATACAGGAAACCAGAAGTTGCCTTGAAGCTTTAACGTTTTTATTTAGCTGAACAAAGACGGGCTCCTCTAAAAAAAAAAAAGAGAGAGAAAAAAGCCCCAAATATCGGGAAAGCCTTATTTTTATACCTTCTTTGATGACATAAATTCACCCAGCAAAGCTGACACACATAAGATCAAGATTTCACCCAGTAAGTCTGACACGTTGTTTCTTGTCTGGCTTGTTGTTAATTGCGAAGTCGGGTCCAACCCATCGCGACCCCATGGACCACGTTCCTCCAGGCCTTCCTGTCCTCTACCATCTTCTGGAGTCCATTTAAGCTCACGCCTTCTGCTTCAGGGACTCCATCCAGCCACCTCATTCTCTGTCGTCCCCTTCTTCTCTTGCCCTCCATCTTTCCCAGCATCAGGCTCTTCTCCAGGGAGTCCTTCCTTCTCATTAGGTGGCCAAAGGACTTGAGTTTCAACTTCAGGATCTGGCCTTCTAAAGAGCAGTCGGGGTTGACCTCCTCTAGGGCCGACCGGTTGGATCGCCTTGCAGTCCAGGGGACTCGCAGGAGTCTTCTCCAGCACCAGAGTCCAAAGGCCTCCATTCTTTGGTGGTCAGCCTTTCTTATGGTCCAACTTTCACAGCCATACATTGCAACTGGGAGAACCATGGCCTTGACTATACGCACTTTTGCTGGCAGGGTGATGTCTCTGCTTTTTAGTATGCTGTCTAGATTTACCATAGCTTTCCTCCCCAGGAGCAAGCATCTTCTAATTTCTTGGCTGCAGTCCCCACCTGAGGTGATCTTGGAGCCCAGGAAAATAAAATCTGCCACTTCCCCTAAAGACACCTTACGTTCCCGGGTGGATTAGGACATGGGATGTTTTCCTTGCTGTCCATCCATGACTCTGCAAGTGCCCAAAGACAGCAAGGCCATCTGCACACATATTCACAATTGACACTTCCTATGCGGTCTCCTAATTCCGGGTCAACAGGGTGGGGGGCTCCATCTGAGCCGGGGGTGGGTGGGAGGGAGCCAGGACGCGTGGAGAACCCCACGCGTGGACGGCTATCTGGCTTAAAGCTAAAGATATAAGAACGACGACAAAAGAACATCTTTATTTTATTTTATTTT